TTCGTCACGAGCTATTATTATTTCAAGCATTTCTGCCAGGGTATGATTTGTTACTAAAAAAAGGCAAAGAGAGACCCGCCGGTACAGAAGTCGTCGTGCTATTTTGACCTTTCACTCGTTTCAAACCCGATATCGATGATATCGAAATCGCACGAAGCTAAAAAATTCAAACGATCCTCTGCGCATTATTTTTGTACACATTTACCAGCAGCTGCAGCCGTACGCAATTCTCTCGCTCTCTCTCTCTCTCGATCGTATTTCATCTCTGCAGGATACTCTCTGCCTGGCTCGCTGAGAGAGAGAGAGAGAGAGAGAGAGATTTTCAAGCGATGATAAGCTCTCTAGCGCGAGCTCGCCGCATGCCGCCATGATAACGCCGCGCAACAGCAGCAGCGTAGGCAAATTAAGTGCACGGCGGCTAATGAACTATACGTGTGCCGTTATATATTATAGACTCGGGCGCTTATACTGTACTATCGTCGATTAATTTTAGCTCCACTTGCGCGCTGGCCGTATTGAAAGGATGTTACGTCGATATATATCCTATTAAATATAATCCGGTCGCGTCCTCGCGAGTGCGGCCTGTCGTCGCTCAATTAAATATATACCTTGCGGTCGGCAAAAATTTTAATTCAACCCCGCGTGCCATGATTTTCAATCTCGTTGCACACCTCTGGGCGTGAGCGTGAGCGCGCGCGCGCGAGGAAGAAAATAAAAATTTGTTTTAGAAAAAGCTGCAGTACCCACGTACACACACACACACAGACACAGAAAAGCTCGAAAGCTCACAAGTGGAAATTAGGAAAAGTTTCGCATAATACGAACTTGCGCGAGTCCAAAGCGCACGACCTCGTGTATTGCGCTTCAGCTATTCACACACACACACACACACAAACACACAGAAATGGAACGCGCCCAAGTAGAGTAAAGTATATACGATTAACTTTTTCTCCGGGAGAGAGAGAGAGAGAAAAGAGGTTCTGTGCACGTTAAAATAAAAAAAAAAAAGACAGAGGGAGTAAGAGAAAGAGAGAAATGGACCTTAGTATATATGCACGTGCGAAAAAGAAAAAGGGAGAGGAGAGAATCTTATACCGAAGACGAGAGAGATCTCTGCTATATCGCGTACACGAGAGACAAGAAGAAGGAAGGAACTTTTCTCTTTCGGCCATTAAAAAGTCTCGTCGTTATATGCTCCCGAACCTCGATCTTACTCTCTCTCTCTCTCGCAATCCACAACTTCGTCGATACGATATCATTTGTTGATATATATCGTTCTAAACTTGTGAATAGTATATGCCCCGATGCCCCAGTATAGTAAGGTATGGTATGATATAGTGTGTATATAGCGATGTATACGCGGATAAGAACGTTTCAGCTCGTTTTCTACGATCCATCGTGTTAAAAACTTATTTTTAGAAACGTTTCACTCAACTATTCATTGCAAAATATTTAGCGTTGAAATACAGTGACGTAAAAAAAAAAAAAAATATTATCATTTTTACCTTGACTTTGACATCGTCGTCTAAAGAAGCGCGAGGCATAAATCCCACATACTTGGCCCTCCGTACTATATAGCCTACGTTGTGTTATGCCAGCACCACCGCCCCCTCAACTTGGCCTCATGGCCGACGTGCAGCATAGTGCAAGCTTTCTCTCTCTCTACACACAATTTCTCGCTTACGTGAGTTATACATTGTGCTCGCCTCGGAATTTCAGCGCAGCGCCGAAGAAGAAAATGCCTACGAGAACTTAGCCTACGTAACTATGTGTGTGTGTGTGTGTGCATATAAATCGATGTAAAAGGGCGCCTCTTCGGGAATGCCATAACGTACACCTTGCGCGTGGCGCATTTTCGTCTCGAGTTTATGCCGTAGTAGCTGTTTTAACGACGCCGTTAAAACACAAGGCCTCCGGAGCAACTCGACTCTCTCCCCGGGTATTCTTTTGCCCTCGTCGTAATTACGCAATTTCCGCGAGTCTCGGGTAAGACGACGTAGCAGCCTGTGTACGACACGACGACGACGACGACGACGCAGACGCACGTATTATAGATGCGGAAACGGAAAAGATCGGCTTCGTCAAAGTCGAGACGACGTGTATTATACATACGCACGTTTATATACACGCGTGATATATATATACAAATATCAACAGGCAAACATACACACACGCACCCACATGTATAGGGTCGATATCTGTGTGTGTCTGTATGGGTATGTACGAACGCAAAGATGTATAATCTCTCGTCGTCGACGCTCACCATTCAAGACTTCGCCACGACGACGACGACGACGACTACGTAATCGAATCACGTTCACGTATAGTATGCGACGCGCGCGCGAGCGTGTGTCATTCTACTTTACAGACGTACACGCGAGCTCATAAATTGAAGATTGAGTTATGCGTGTCTCCGGCTTTTGCCTAGTCGTTCGCAACTACATATAGATTATATACTTATCGTGTATATAAGTGATACCGTATAGCTCGAAGTATACGCGGCGTGGCCGAGAGTTGCGATCGGTTATGATAATTCGCACACGCGTGAGTGTATCTCACCCACGGCCGCCTTCGACGTGTAATTTAATTGCTCCTTATCTGATACCTATATAGCTAACTCGCCCCTCCGATCGAAGAGTTCAACAAACTCTGTTACGACGCGCCTGGGAAAATTTGTTTTCCGACGATGACAATTTAGTCGAGCACTTTGAATCTTCACCGCTGGTTGGCGAGGTACCTTAAAATTCGTAAATCTGCAAGTGGAAAAGTCACGATAATTGTAAAGGTTGAGATCGACTCCGTTGAAGAGCGTGTGTTGAAATCCGTAATGCATGCATTTATATTATATATCATCCAAAGTTGTTTGCTCGGGATGTATAGTATATTAGAAGACAAAACTGGGCGGCTTAGAGCTGTTAACTGCTACAATCCAGCAAGTGTGCCGCTATAGGAACGATGAATAGTTAATGTCTTTGCGGCGCCTCTGGCCTCTACAGCCGAGCGCGGCGGCACAGGCGGATTATCACTGGATTGGCTTATGCAGTAAGCGCTGCGCGGCGACGTTCTTGAGCTTGCAGCAGCAGCAGCCATAGTGCAGCGCGCTTAAGCTCGTACAGCAACAAGCCATTTGCCGCTGCGACTGTCGCGCGATTAAAACGATATTGCGTGCGAGCGCGCGGGTGCCTCTCTGCTGTACAAGTGGAGTTACGTATACTCGAGTCGAGACTTTTGTTTCGTATACATATGCGATTGAAATCTAACAACTTGACTCGTACTGCGCGCAGGCGCGAGTCAAGTACCATACTACGATCGAATAGGAAAGAAACGCATGCGTTGTTTATTCTGTGCGTCGAGGAAACGAAAAATAAAGAGGAAAAGGAGAAATATCGTACGCGGAGGTTTCAGCGATAAAAATCGTCTGAGCGAACGTGGCAATTTGCGCTCTAGCCGGTGTGTATGTATATAAAACGTGTGCAGAGCACCATGCCTCCTACATATATATACTGCAGGAGGAATGACGAATCAACGAGTGAACGAGAGACGAGGAGAGGGAAAAGGAACTTGGGAAGTTAGCCACCCTCCTGGGTGCACACACACACACATACATATACGATTGCAAGCACACACGATATTTTGAGAGATCCCTGGCGCAAATTAGCGATACGTGGAAGCTCGCACGCTGCTGCCGTTGCTGCTCCCTGAGCGTCGTCGTCGTCGTCGTCGTCTTCCGTGCTATATACACGAGGTGCGTGCGTGCGTGTGTATGTAGGTAGGTTTACGGGAGTTTAGCTCATTTTCTGACAGCGTGCCAAGACGGGCACGACGACGCTAAATCGATCTTGCTTTATTATGCAGTTGACGTGCGCCCCGACGACCCACGATGATGTATGGGGACGGGAATCGCCCAGCTGCATATATATATAGGTGCGCGTTAATATGTACTCACAGGTGCGAGCTAGTTACATCCGAGTTTTTGGATTATTTCGTTGTCATCGAACGAACCTACGGTATGTAGGCTTGCGCTTGATTTTGCATTAATTATCTGCGTACGTTACAATGTGCCAAGTAGTTGGCCGCACACGTTTCACACAGACGGTTGGGTCTTTTGATCGATTTGCTCGCGTTCGCTATCCCCCATATACCTAGCTTTGTCAACTTGACCGCTCGATAAACGGATATATACGCGCGTATGTGCGAGCGGAGAGAGAAAGAGAGAGATCCAGAGATGCAAACTCGCGTTATTCCTGGAGAGCTGCTTGTTCTGTCTTACCTTTGATCCGATCGAAATTGTCTTTGATGCTTACTACTACTACTACTACTACCTGCAAGCTCGCAGCAGCACAATCGTGTTTTGATTAATTACGCGCGGCCGATCCTATGAGTGCATATAGATAAAATATGAAATCGCCAGCTACTCGAGTATAACACTCGAGTCCGAAGAGCTGACGATTCATTAACGATTGCTCGACGTTCCTCGATATTTTATGATACGTGAAAAACGTAACGATTGAACGATTAGAGCCTTCGAAAATTATATTCTTCGACTGTTAATCAATTCGAGACTCGAGTTTCAGGACGAAGGGATATGTAATTTAGAGCTTCTCTCTCGCGTACTTCGCACGCCACTGGATGAATTCATTGGCGCCAGGGCTCGAGGGCTTATATATTTAACCATCTTTTTCGAACTCGTTAGGGGAAAATTTTCAAGATATACACGGACGCACGAACGGTTTTCGAGGAGCACTCTCATTCCTTTTTTTCTCTCTGTATTTTTACGAGCTTTTTTATGTACTGGAAAAATTTCAATTTGACTATTTAGTGCAACAATTTTATTCGAGCTTTCGACTTTTCGGTAAGAATTAATTATTCGATGATTCATTTAGAAAGATCTTTATTTAAAATTAACCAAAAATGTATTTATTACTACATGTACTTATCATTGAACAAACGAAGCATAATTATATGGCTTTATGAATATAAAATATATTTGTTTTATTAATTTAATCACGCTGATGGTGACATTTATTTACTAAGTGATTCTTGAGGTCTTCCTTGTAACTAAATGATTTGTCAAATGTCGCACTTGAAGAGTTTGCTACGATCATGTGCTGCATTTATGTGAGATTTGAGGTGTTGTTTTTGTCCAAATGTATTGTGGCAAAAATATCGCATTCAAAGAGTTTGCTACGTATATGTACTCCATTTATATGACTTTTTAGATTACCTTTTTGTCCAAATGATTTGTGACAAACCTCACATTCAAAGGATTTGATACGAGCATGAACTGTATTTATGTGAGCATTAAGATGACTTTCGTTTCCAAATGATTTATGACAAATGTCACATTCAAAGGGTTTGCTACCATCATGTACTCCATTTATATGACTTTTTAGATTACCTTTTCGTCCAAATGATTTGTGGCAAACATCACACTCGAAAGGTTTGCTCCGATCATGTACTGCACTTATGTGACGCTTGAGGTCACTTTTTAATCCAAATGATTTGTGACAAATTTTACATTCATATGGCTTCTTGACCTTACGTGTCGTATTGATATGTGTATTTAAACCCGCTCCAGTTTCACACGTTTTCCGAAAAATGGCATACTCTTTAGATAGCTTGGTTCCGGTAGTTTTTCTGAATATTTTAATCTTCGCATGTGCGTCAAGTCCCAATTGAGAATTCACTTGAAATTGAGCATTATTATCATAATCGAATCCTTTCTTTATTAAAATGATTGGATCTTTCGAGCAACGATTCTGATTTTGGTTTTCTACTTTCACAATAGGTGGATTATTCCGATACTCATACTCAGTTTTACATATAATGGTCGATAAAGGCAACAGTTCAGGTTTCAGTTCAGGTTTAACGTATTCACACTCACAGTCAACGAATATTTCTCCGTCCAACTGTTTCTGTAACGCCATAACCTCGTTGGCGTGAATTTCCTAAAATTACAATTGTGCAATGGTTTATGCTAGTGGGAAATGAGATATGTAATTTAAATCATCAAACTTACTGGTGTCTTGTAACACGCGAACGATTCATAATGTTCGACTTGAACAGAGCCCACGGAATCGAAATTATAATCTTCTCCTGCATCTGGTAAATTATCATCGGGCTCTTCCTTCATCCTGAAGAATGATAAAGTTTGATGAAGCAATCACTAAAAAATATCATGACGCGCACGAAAAAGGTTATACCTGACCAAGCTCTCTTCGTTTTCCATAGCTCGCTATAGTACCTGTGGATTTTCACGATTTGCGCCGAGAAATTATTTGAGATTATAAATACCTCGAGTAGCTAACACTGTACCTCGATTACCTACTTTACAACTGTAATTTGTAAACACCTGCTTACTGAGAAATCCCTCGTCAGCGACTGTACGCATTATCCCTACTCATTAGCCAGAAGACCTGACGCGATTGTATAGCTCTTTGACGATATTTTCCTCTTCTATTATCGACTATAGCCATACGCAGCAATTTACTGTGGTACGTATGTACACAGAGATACAGAGCATTGATTCAAGCTAAACCTAAATGGTAATGAAAATTTGATTCACACAATTTCGCACAATTCACAATTTATAAAAAAAAAAACATCTTTGTAAATCCTCACCGATACAGTGCTTCATGGTATTACATATGTAAGATTTTACACACCAAGTTCAATTAGTCAATTTTCCATTTCAACCACTAGATGGCCAAGAGTACTTGAGAAGCGCATCTTGCAAGTTGATTGACTTCGCTGGGGCATAAAATCAAGGCCAACAAATACGGTCCAGACACTAATTTACACTACATGCATGAAAATAGCAGAAGTGACACCCTAATGTACTCCTCTACGCCGTCGCTCACACGATCATTGCTCTTCAGTGTGGCTGCTGGCACACATCATGCATATTCATGCTCACCTCGAACGCAACCAACGTGCAGCACAGTTGCACGTATATACATTTACATCTGTATATTTCGATCCTTCAAAACGGAACTTTGAACGCAGTCTCCAGAATCCGTACACAGCGCGTATATATTCGAAGTTGACGCATTCGATCTTGGCGCGTACGCGAGACCGTATACAGCTCGGGTATTACACTAATGGCTCGTGCGACGAAAGTCGTATGACATGAGTATGCACGTGCGCGCTTGCGTATTTCAATAGTAAAGAATCAATGCAATTTTAATTTTAATCTCACCTCGGTGTGAGACTTGGATACACAATTCATCGAGTTACCCGGATGTATACCACGAGATACGGGGGTAGGATTTCTCTGTACACCCGTGGCTGCACGATGAAAATTGCAAGTAAAATGTACGGAAAAAGTCCGTCTCCAGATCTCGCCCTTTTTTCTTCTCTCCTCTCTTCCTGTCTCGTTCTCCTCCTACTTCTCGAGAGGGAGCGAGAGAAAACCGAAAACTTTATACGTGCCAAAGTAGCGTATACTACGCGCGTATATGGCACGACGCAAATTGCGAGAAATAAGGCGCAGCCACGCGGGTTTTGGTCTCTTGGGTGGCATTAGACACTTGGAGAGAGAGAGAGAGAGAGAGAGCCGAGCCGAGCTAGCGCGGACAAAAAAAGAAATGAAACGAAAAGGTAGAATAAGAGGAATAAAAGGAGAAAAGAAATAGCAAAACTCGCCAGGTGGCATAAAAGAAAGAGAACGAGTGAGTTGAGACCCCCATACACGTCGCGCATGACTCTTTTTTGTATCTTTTTTTTTATTTTTTTTTTTTTAAGTTTCCTTGTTTGGTTATTTTTTTGTTCTCTCTTTCCTTCTTTCGCGCAGAAAGCTCGTTTTCTGCGAGATTGAAAAATATGAAACTCGCGGATAATGATGCGCTCGCTGCTTCAGTTACGATATACTTTCGTCCACGTGATTTATATTTATTACATATATTTTACTCGGTTGACGATCTTTATCGCGTCCGCGATCGACGCAGCAGCAATTAATTGATCAATAGCGGATTTATTAAAGTAAATTTTGCAGAGAGCGAAGCGCGCGGCATTGAAAGGCATTCAAAAAGTTTCTATTAAATTTTGCCATGCGCCGCGCGCGAGCCAAACATAAAAAGATTTATATCTCTCTCTTCGGTAGCAGCAGCAGCAAAAAAAAAACGCTAACCTGGCCCCACCGCTGCCTGCATTGTGCCTTGATTGAATTTTCAGCTGTATAAAAAATCAAATTCACCGAACAAAACTCCATTCGAAAAGGGCTGAAATCGATTTAGTAAGACTCTTTTTGTGTGTGTGTGTGTGTGTGTGCGCGCGCGCTGTATAGTTTTCACTGCCGCGCCTGATCGCTATCGCTGCTGCTGCGTCGCTCCTGGATAAATATATGGACGAAAATGCTGAAAGAATGCGATTTAAAAATCCTTCCACTTTTTAATCCGTAAAGTATAAAAAAAAAAAAATAAATAAATGTTGAAAGAATCCCCGGTATTCATCGTGAAAAGTCGTGTAGCTTAATGCGCGCATTATGAGGCGCGTGTATATAAAGCATCGTTACAAATATTTCGTCGAGATTAATGTAATATTACGAATTTTCACGTGAGCTCGTTACATGCGTGTGTGCGAAATTGAATTTATCAGTGACAATTCGATATATTTCAGCAGTGCATCTCTAGCAGATTCTCAAAGCAAAACTATACAACGAACGTAGCCCATTAATTATCGCTTTTTTCTCTCTCTCTCTCTCTGCGCATTGTGTATATAGTCAAAAAGTACCAACTATATATACGCGCGCACGGCACAATAGAGAGAGAGAGAGAGAGGTGAAACTGACGCGTAATTAGCGCTAAGCTTCGGTTTTATAACAAGCTGAGCCATCATTACTCTGATTAGCATATCAACTTGCTTATTTATACATATGTGTTTCGCGAAACGGCATGACGGCTGTGCGCTGCACTGCGATTCGACTAATTAATCGAATTATAGAACTAGTCATGAACCATATGTATGTCCAAACCAAAATTTGAACGATTCTCCTTGAGCTATATTTCAATTCGATGTTACGTTTTGTTTCCTCCTCGAGGAGTTAGAAAATCCCCCAAAAAAATATAAAAAAAAAGGGAAGCGAGAGCCAATACCAAAGAGCCTATATACCACAAAGAGAATTTCAATATTGCCTGCTGCTGCTGTTGCAACTGCCGCCCACGGCGCCATACGGCCAATAGAAAAAAAAAATATCGAGAGCACTTCGGGCATTCATAAAACCACTTGCTTTAACTTTTCCGAATCGTTTGCCTGGGTGTGCGCGCGCGCATGTGTATCTCTGTGTACGTGCGAGTGTACAAGCGCTGCTTCTGTTTACAATTCAAAAGGAGCTTGCAACGAATTCAGAACGCGCGCGCGTATCCCTCGATGTTTCACCTAGAAAGAGAGAGAATAAAAGTAATAATAAAATCAACGAAATTGAATTCGCCAGCGGTATCTCCGCAGCTAGCTACGCGGGATTTTTTCCCGCGCGTAATCCGGAGGACCTTGTGTTTTACGTATTCCCGAGGTTTATTTATAATAATTAAATTCAAAATAAAAAGCTCCTGCGGCTGCGCAGGTGACACACGAAACGCAGCTTTCGCATTCAAAAGCTTTTACGTCGCGCGGCAATAGCCGAATGAGCTTTTAGCCTCGTGTGCGTGCACTAAGCGCCTACTCTGCGTGTGCTGTACTTACAAATTTGAATTCGCATATATGGCAAAAAGTATAGGTACATACTACTACACCTCGCGAAGTCGGAGACGCGCGGCACATGTGGCACCCAACACATACCCGCACACACACACACACACACACACACACACCTTTTTTTCATTCACCACCTTGTTTTTTGCCCGAATAATAACTCACAGTCCGGCTGAATGGAACCCCGCACGTAAGAGCTCTCGCGAGCTTATCTGTATACCGTATTATATATATGGAGAGTATGTTAAGCGCGTGCGTACATCGTATGTATATAGACTGTCGTCGTCGTTGTGCGAGGATGAAGGCAAAGTCGACGCTTGAATAACCTAGAGAGAGAGAGAGACGAGAGGATGAGCTACTCGACGTTTGAGTCTCTCTAGCTCTTTTCACGCTATTTTTACAATAGGCCCCCCTCTCGCTTTATACTCTCCTGACGTAGCCTTTTTTTTGCTCTCTCTCTTGCCCGCCGCCGCCGCCGTTGCCTCCTCTTCATTCTTGTCTTCGCATGCAGGCGCGCGCGAGCGTGTTACGATATTCTTCGGGAAAAATAAAGTCCTCCTCGCTTATATTATCTGTATAAAGTTTAGCTGCCTCTTCTTTTTTATCTTCGAGTCTGTGCGTATATAGTATAAAGTGTCCCACGGTTAAGTTTTTTTTACCTTCCCTTTTTTCTCAAATCGGTTCTGTATAGGTCGAATAATGATGTTCGAAGCTCGAAAAAATCTATTAAATAGTATCCCTGGTAGAAATGTTCAATATTAATTGTTAGAGCTTAATAATCAAAAAATGGCGTATACATCACCAACAATAGGCTTGTTATTGGTTGCAATTTATTTTAAGAAATAAAGACCAATTATCAACCAAATTGTACACAATAAAATAATTTCAAACAAACGCCACTAGATGGCAAGCACCTATGTATCTGTAAATCTGCAAGTGAAAAAGTCAAAATAATTGTATAAGTCAAATGATGTTTTTTTTTATAATACTGTGCGTATTTTATGAGCTGTTGTCCCACCTCTCAAGTTATTTTATAATTAGCTCAACATGCGTACATTATCTATTAGATTGGTCTTGCCTTGCACTCAAATTGATTAACTTGGTTATTTATCGTCAAAAGATTCTGACGGATGTGTGACGGCTGAGAGCCGAATTCAATCTCTCACGGTGACTAACAAGTAATATCAAACGTTTTTTTCTTCTTCGCGTACTCTCAGTCAATTATATAATGAGTTATATTATAAAGTTATAATAAGCAATTTTTCATTATTATTTGACACGTGTAGAAACGTTTCAAATGGCGGTAAAGAAAAATTAAATTCAGAGTAGCACTCTTCGTTATTAAACGTGCGTTATTTTATTCGATTGCATGGTAACGCAAAGGATAAATGTGATACAGGGTGACAACACTTCGTAAAGCTAAATTATGTTTTTTTTTTTTTTTCGATAAAATTGAAAAGGTACGAGTCAACCGATGACAACGACGTAGGCGTTTACACATTTACAATACAACAGTAATCATCGCACATTACGTATGTATAAGCGAACGAAATTGAATCGAACATTGTGTAGATTACATATCTATATTTTACATCGCCCGATAATGAAT